AGAAGAGACTGGAGACATTTGGTTGTGACTCTGTGTGAGTAGTTGTGTAATATGACACCTGAAAGATTTTAGAAATGTAATTTTTTTGTTACTTTAACTGTGTAACTTCTTGTGTTTTTAGATTTTGCTTTTAACTATTAAGACACTTCAAGATCATTCAGTTTGTACACTGCCTGTGTTATGAAAGAGGTTCCAGCTCTAGCTGTGCTGAACAGGAAAGGTGTACAAAATGATTTAACAGATCTTAATATTTATGTATTTTAATTTCAGTTCAGTAATGTTTCATGATGCAGTGAGGGTTAAGGCTCTGGCTGTGGCTTTTAAGGGAGTTCCCTTCCTTTTGAAAATACCAGCACCAGTATCTAAAAGCACCAAAGTGGTATTTGCAGATAAAGTTAAAAAGTGCTGCAGCTGAGCAACTAATTGGCAGTCTGTTAGCAGTGCATGTTTCCCTGGTGGATGTTTGTTAAGCAGGCTAAGGTGCAGGACGAGACACGTGTTCGTGTTTGTCAGCTACAGTAAATAAGAAAGAGACTTTAGTAGGAAACCTAATGTGGGTTGTTCAAAGTCGGTGGCTCTTGTGTAACAGGCTGCTGTCTGGCTCAGTGTGACCATCTGCCTATGATCAAACACTGACATTACTCATCTAGGCACATATACTGTAGTTTAGAATTAAGTGATTTGATTGGCTGTAGGGTCCCGTCTACATGGGTGAGAAACTAAGTGGTTCTACAGATCTGACTAAACCAAATAATAGAAATATTTCTCTAGTCCATCAGCCCCACCACCTCCAAATAAAGAAGACCACATGTGACTTACAGAACTGATATCTATATTAGAACATAGAACTGGTCTTTCAGTATATCCACAACCCTATATGATAAACTCTAAACATGCACCGATCATCAGCCATCTTATAATGCCTCAGGACACCATTCTTAACTCATAGACAATTGCACTGCACACAGTCCAGTCCTCTATGCCAATGATCATATCACAGCTCTAAATCTGCCAACATGGGCTCTTATCCTAATGGAGCACTGTAGGGCTTCAGAGTGAAGCTCTAATGTACTCAAAAGTGAATGAAAGCCAGTTTATTATGATGCCAGTCAAAGGGTGCATGGATTAGACACAGGGCTCAGTGCAGCAGAATACTGATCAGTATTTGGATGCAAGCCCATCAGCAAACCCAGATATGAAATGCAGTCACTTAGCTAGTGTGCACTCATCCAGTGTGTGAAGTGGGAGTCTCATCTCCAAACTGCACTTAAGTCCGGATTCTCACCAACACATGCTTTAGGGTGATTGATAATGCACATTAACACAGATTGAGGTTCAGAATAGCAACAGGAAGTGTATTTGTAGTCTGATGAAATAAATTTATTACACTTTATTAATCCCTGTGGGGAAATTTCTTACTGATTGTGGCGCTGTCGGTTGCTGCCTGGCCAACAGGGGCAACTAGGGGTTCAGTGTCTTGTCCAAGGCCACTTCGACACTTGGACTAGGGAGAGCGGGAATCAACCCACCAACCTTCCGATGAGGAGATGACCGCTCTAAGCCGCCTAATGAGACGCAGATGTTGCATACATATCCACCAATTATCATTCATAAGATAAAAGAGGTTAAGTGAATACTCAAAATACCAGGCTCAAAATAAATTAAAGCTGTAGAGAGAATCGTAATGTGAAGTTCATGCCTTTACAGACTTGAAAGCTTCTCAGATAAGACATAGCAGGCAAAAATAAATAAATAATGGCTTTTAGGGAGAATAATAACATGCCACAGACTTTAGAAGTTAATGACTGAACAAAAATAAGACTTGGACAAGAATGCTCGTGAGATAGGCCTGGCATATCACTGTGTGTAATCTCCAGATAGCTCAAAATCTCCCATTGAACTTTCCCTCATCAAACCTCTGACAGATTTAGGTCTCCTGCTGTGTTGTGATTAAAAGTATGCTGTTACATTCACAGTGGTTGCCTGAGTAATTGGTCATTTAATATTTCCTTCTCACAGGCAACAACAGTGAGTATTGTGTGGACAAATAAACAAGCCCTGTGTGCTTTTATGGAGTCTATTAATTGTTTAGACATTTCCTCTTGTAACAGCCTTTACATTTACTCTGAGAGTGGTAACACTGGGTTGTCATGATCTTATGTATAATTTAGTCTGATCTAGCCATACTGTAAACATGAAGTAGCAAGACCCTCCATCTGTGATGCATGTCTGCTCAACTGGGCAGTATGTTCTGTTTTCAGTCCTCGGGAGCTGAGCACTCTGTACTACACTGTGTGTGCCTGTCTGCATGCACGTCTGTGTATTTACAGTACGTTCTGCTTCACTACCATCACACTCATTACACTTTACAAACAAGCCCAGCATTGTGATGAAGTGAACCTTGATCTTTTATAGCCTGTACAGCACAACGATAAATGGGACAATGATGCAATGAGGAAATAATGTATATATAACCCTTGTAAAAGAGCAGAGCTGTAGAAGGAAAGAAGAGTCATTTGTATGGAGATTTGAGAGGGTGGGAATCCCCGGTAGAACCTCACATTGTCATCTGACAGTGCACTGAAGCTCTCACCACAAGTAAAAAGACAGAAGAATATATATATATATATCTGGGACCTCAGCTGCCTGGCTTTCTGAAGAGGAAACAGATTGTCTGGCCAAAATTACAACAGCAACAGCCAGCTGTGCTCCATATACATGCTCTGTCCATAGAGTCTATACTGTAGTAACTGCTTTGTTGACTGGGTTGAAACCATTAGCCTATGCTGCGTACAGGAGTTTGCAAGGAATCAAATAGGAACTGAAATAAGCAGAGTAAGAGTAACTACACTGCAAGAACTGCAGGATTCTCCAAGGTGTTTGCACAGCTTTAGTCTCTTCTAATTGTTTTTTCCTGGGAGCTCAATTAAACAGACATATTTTGTCATTAAAGCTTGACTTCATTTCCATGTGGCTACATATTTACCACCAGCTAGGGGCTGTGTCTCAACCAGACAAAAATATATTCTCTTAGGAGTGTTGTTCAGGCAGTCTGAAGACAAAACAGGGGTCTTCACGTGTCCCCTCGGTTCTGAGGGACAGGGGCCAAATTAGATTCAGTCTAATCGGGTCAGGTACAGTAGAATCTCATTGTTGAAGTTGTCAGGTCTGCGTGTCAAAATACCATGTGATCTGTAACTGCCGGGAAAACTGACATCTACTCTTTTTGACAGTGGCTCCTTGTTAACTGGTGGTGCATCATGGTGCTGCCAGTGCTGGTGTCCTCTCCTCTCTGGATCAGCTACATTTTGAATTAGGGCTAGTTATTCTCAGGCCTGTTCAGATCAATCTGTCTCTCGTCAGGTCAGTTTCAGATCAATTTGTCTTTTTAAGGGAAACAAGTATCTCTGCTTCTTGGCTTTAAGTAACTTGTCTATAGGCTGAGTTTGGATCAAGTCCAAATTTTGGATCTGTAAAGACCCCTAAATCAGATGTCTGCATGGCCCCAACGTTTGCAACTTTCTGAAACTGCACATAGCTTTCTGCATTGATTGGCCAGCTGAGCAAAGGGGTGACAGTCATTCTTGCTATCTGAACCTCAGGAATCACATCTGGATTGGCATCAGTAACAGCAGTAATACCTTCATTTCTTTCCCTTTGGCCTTCCTCAGTGGATATTATTGAAATGATTTATTTTAATGATTATTTTTTATGGATTGCTCAGGATTATTTTCTTGACTAATTGTATGATCTAAAAAAATCAAAAGTGAAAAATGAACATTAAACATTTGGCACTTTTGTTTGACAAATGACTTACACGATTAATCACTGATGAAAACTTGATTTTTTTTTCCATGTGACGACTCAAATAATTAGGCTTTAATATCATTATAGCTCACAAAAGCACTGCTAAATTTGCTTGGTAGTGCCAGTAATACATTATCATTAACATTACAGTACCATTAAGTAATGCAGAGAGAGAGAGACCATTTGTGTGCATTTATCTGAGGTGCTGTTAGCGGAATAAATCTGCAGGAACAAGTGCGGCAAAGCAAAACGTGTCACCACCCCATTAATCTCACTTAGCTTCAGCGGCTGTGATGCAGCTACAAATGGCAACTGTACAGTGATACTCAGGTCAAAGAAGAACCTTTTTAATTGAAGTCCGATGATGCATCATTTACAAGTAAAATGCTAGTCTGCTGTTGTGCAATTAAAACTAAATCATTAAATATTTGGTTTACACACACACACACACATATATATACATATATATATGCATTATGTGTACAGTACTTATGGTATCATCAAACAGCAAAATGAGTGCAGCTTTTAGAGCTTCATGTTAGTTTTTCCCAACCAACAATCCAAGACCCCAAGATATTCAGTCTAATCTGCTTCATTTTATTTTATAATCGGCTACACTTTATTTTATGGGTCAGTAATTTTGTTTCATTGAAATAACAATGTAAATCACTACTTATTATTAGGATAGAAATAGAATGTTTCTTGAAAAAGTTTAATTTAAAAACTAAGTAAATATTATTTCATCATTGGATACTTGATGTGTATGCTTGCTTAGGGACACGTTTCACATTTCAATGTACCTGCTGTGGTCTAGCACATAAACTCTCTCTGTTTCCCTTTAATCAATGCTAAATTATATATAGTAGTCGTTTATTCCTGGAAACTCAGCTCGTATGATTTCTCATTATTGCCACTATAATACGCACACACACACAAGATAGGTTACAATCAGAGTATTACAGTAAGAGCAAAACAGCAGTATTAAGAAGAAGTAATAACCTTTAGCCCCAGTGGTGCCAGAGTGCCAACTTCAATTAAAATGAATGTCAAATTTATCCTATAAGGACAGATTTTGAAAAGCATCATAGGCACTCACTGCCAGACAAGCTGTCCACACAGTAGGGTGGAACTTCCAGAAATCTAAATCAAATAACTTAATCTTTTCTCTCCCTGCTTGTCTTGTTCCCATCAAGAGTCCTGACTGCTGCAGAAGCAGCAGCCATGTGAGAAGAGCTGTCAGCAAGCAGAGGATGCCCACGTCCAGCTAAAACCAAGCATCCACCCCCCTTCCTCCCACCTGCGCCCCCCCTCCTTCCCACATGAGGACGAGAAGATGTCTATCACCCGCCAGCAGTCCTTCAATGTCCTGACAGTCATCTTCCTGCTGTTGTCCACTGCAGGTACGTAAAGTTTAGCGTGTGTTTATCAGCCAGTCTGGCTGTCTGGCCCTTACAAATTCATTTATTTCTCATTAGAGGTGCCTCCAAACACACCTACAAGAGTCACAGTATGTGCCCATATTAGGCATGCTACCTAAGGGACCTATGTCTGCAAACTCCGGATGCCACAAAATATGGGTCTCTGTCATTTGCTGAGCAAGCCACTAGAGCCATGAACTAAAATGCAGGGAATAAGACACAATTTTACAGAGACAGAAGAAAGAGATAGATTTTGACATCTGATGGACAGAAGTTAAGACATTTAACATTAAGAGACTTACAAAAATGTTTTGCAAAAAAAGTGTACTAGGCAGGAAAAGCTGTGAGCCTGAGGGTGCTCTCTAAATGAAGCCTTGCAATGTAAAACTATGAGAACAGCATATTATAACCCTGAAAGTTACAACAAGAAAACCCCAGCCAACACATCTCTCTGAGACAGAGACTATACATTATGCACAAGGAAAAGAGAAGGGATGCCGACTCAAATTTGAAAAAGATAAATAGGGCAAGAGGAGGATGGAGTATTAATGGAAAAACAGCTACAAGAATGTGTCGCAGGTTGGATTAAAAAGTAAACTCATAATAAACAAAAAAGTGAGGTGTGAATGATATTAAGAACCATCTCATTAAAGAGCAACTTATCGCCCTGTTTCATCGTGAAAAGTCCCTCTTCACTACACAGAATGTTCAAAGCCAGAGACCCTCAATCTCTTTTTATATAACTGCTTCAGAGATGAGATGTAACACCTGGATTTCTGCAGTCTTTGGCAGTCAGGAACAATGAAATCCAACCCTCCACTATGCAGAATTGATTTCTCACTTGACTTGTACTTCGGGGCCATGGAGTACAAAGCTACATCATAGATTTTCAGATTTGCTTTGGTCTAGAGGACAGAATTACTCTCTGGAGTAAGAGAACCAAAACTGCAATAAACACTGCAGCCCAAAAGCAGTTGAAAGTGTCCCACTGTTAAAAGTGGCTACACCTGATCTCTAATTTCAAAAAAGTGGATTCATTGCTTTAAAAGTGAATTAATAAATAATTTTAAAAATGAAGTTATTCTTAAAATACTTGTCACTATTTGGTGACAAGAGGGCTGCAGCCAACATCTATTTAAAATCTATTAATCTGACATTTATTAATTTGTCATTTTTACCTATAAAATGAAGCCGATTAGACTGAATATCTTGGCGTTTTGGATTGTTGGTTGGGCAAAACTAACATGAAGATGTCACAGTCATGTATGATTTTCCTAGCTCTGCTGAGGCACTGGGAGTGAGCAATGTACTCCAGGGAGGGCAGAGAGCAGCCAATGATTTTCTCTGCTGTGACTATCACCCTCTGCAGAGCTTTCCTGTCTGATGCTGTGCAGTTGGCATACCACACAGTTTTGCAGTATCCTATGACACTCTTGATGGTAGAGCTTTTCCTTTAGTTCTACTTTTCGGAGCAGCCTCAGGAAGTATAACCGCTGCTGGGACTTTTTAACCGCCGCTTGAGTGTTAGCTGTCCAGGAAGGTCCTCTGAGATGTAGGTCCACAAGGAATTTGAAGTTGTAGACCCTCTCCAGAAGGTCTCCACTGATGTAAAGTGGAGCTGGGTCCACCCTGTGCTTCCTGACGTCAGTGACAATCTCTTTTGTTTTGTGGGTGTTGAGTGAGAGATTGTTTCTGGTGACATCCCCTGTACCTCATCCGTATATACAGACTCATCACCTCCGGTTATCAGGCCAACCATGGTGGTATCATCAGCAAATTTAATGATTGTGTTGCTGGAGTGATGAGGTGTACAGTCATAAGTGTACAGAACATATAGGATTGGGCTCAGTACATCACCCTGGGGGGAGCTGGTACTGAGTGTGAGGGTTGAGGAGCAGTAGGAGCTGATTTTAACAATTTGTGGGCAGTTACTGAGGAAGTCCTTTAGCCAAACGCAGGTTGTGGGGGAGAAGTGAAGGTCATGCAGCTTGTCAGTCAATATTCTTGGGATGATTGTATTGAATGCTGAGCTACTGTATAATCAACAGATAACATTCTCACATAGGTCCGTGAGTGTTCCAAATGGCTCAGCACTATGTGGAGGGCTGTAGTAATGGCATCTACCGTGCATCTATTTGCCCTATAAGCAAACTGGTGAGGGTCAAATGCAGGAGGGAGGCTGGCTTTGATGCGCTGTGCCATGAGTTTTTCAAAACATTTCATGGCTACTGATGTTAATGCAGTTGGTATGTAGTCACTGAGGCTCTCAATGCCTGGTTTCTGGGGGACTGGGATGATGGTGGCTGACTTCAGACAGGGTCAGGGACATGTTAAACATCCTGGTGAGGATACCTGCCAGCTGATCAGCAGGCTTTTAGTGCCTTTCCAAGTATTTCATTCGGGCAAGCAGCTTTCCTTGGGTTGATTGTCCTGAGTGTCCATCTCACCTGCTGTTCATGTGTAATTTGTTACACTCGTGGTTTGAATTATAATTAATGCGTAAAAGCACATCATTAAACCATTAAGGTGTAAAATTGTGTTCATCATTGCAAGTATATTTGACAATGAATGGTCATAATTGATGTACAACAAAGCACCATGACAAAGAACCAACCAACTCATGAGATTTACTTGACCTGACCAGGCTACACAGTTAAGTGTTTAACTTGACCAGAAACAGACCCACAGACACAAGATTGTCACATGTTTACAGTACATTTAAGTACACTATGAATTAGGTTTGATTTTTCACATCACTGTAGCTTTCAAGTCCCAATCAGTAAGGCCATATACTCCTCTAATGATATGCACATTGTATGAAAACACACTGTAATGACAAGAATCCATCCCCCCTACCTATTACAGTTTGTGAAAAAACACAGGCATTACTTAGCCTAACTAACCAAAGATTGCTGAAACACTTTTTATGCATTGGCACTCTATTATTTCAGTAACTTACTGACAACACATACCATCAGCAGTTTCCATCCCGTATGGTCCCATCGTCCTCGTCACTGTCCAGAACTTTTTCTGTGGGTCTTATTGCAGTTTAGGTTCTTTCTGGTCTTGTAAAAGAAGAAATATTTGTTAACTCACTCATTTGTTAATTTCAGTGGTGTGTCTGTGTTTTTATCTTGAGGTATACCATATGTATACCCCCTTTTGACAATTTCTCTGTGGATTTTACATTTTAATCTTTGCAGCCCTCTCAGCTCATTTTCGGGTGTGTGAACCCTACTCGGACCACAAGGGGCGTTACCACTTTGGCTTTCACTGCCCACGCCTCTCAGACAACAAAACTTACATGTTCTGTTGCCACCACAACAACACAGCCTTCAAATACTGCTGCAATGAGACTGAGTTTCAGATGGTCATGCAGATCAACCTCACCACCACCTCAGATGGATATGCACACAAGTGAGTAACAATATACTGCCATTTGACCCAATGTGTGTCTGTTCTGTCATATTGTCTTTTTTGATTTGATTTCAATTAGGTTTTAGAAAATATACTAACGATTTTAATTTGAGGAAAATTCAATATAATAAAAGTGCTAAGTGATGGCTCTTATATCAAGTCTCATAATAGTGGTCCTTCACTGTATCACAGAATTTCATGCATTAGATTGCTCTTTTCGAGTTTTAGTGAGAGTAAACTATACCACACATACCAAGAAAGACCCATAAAACATAAATCTGGGGACATGTTTCATTCATTCCATGATAAGCTATTTTAAACAGAGTGAAGGACACAGAAAATTGTTCTGGTGGGAGATTTCAGTGGAAGGTTTTGGTGACAAAACCACAGACAGGCTGCACTAATGCTCTCCCAGCATGCCCAGCGGCACAGTTCACACTGCCCTGCAGCCGGTCATGATATTTCATTTTAGTGTCTGATGGCTTGTTGGGGCCACTCTCTCATCCTGGTTCAATAGGCAGGATGAGACTGCAGGTTTGACATTTACCACTGGCCAGGCGGCTCATACTGGCCATAATTCTGCTCCCTACTTACACTGCATGTTGAAAATTGTATTATAGTCTGAGATTTACTGCAGTTGAAAGCAAAACCAAGCATGTTTGCCCTGTGTGGGTTTCATAGATTAATGCATTGTAGCATATAGCCCTTCTTATAAGTAGTTACAGAGCAGAACTGAAATAGATTCAGAGTAGAATGGTCATCTGAGATTACATTTTTTAACAAACAACAAGAAAAGCTACAAACCTTTGACAGATAATTGCATCTGCTTTCCTTCTCTGAGAAAGCTGTTAAATATTGAACATTTGTTTTAGTTAGTAAACGTGATTGAGCCCTCCTCTGCATAGCCCCACATGTCAAATCACCTTAGCAGACATTCCAACTAAATTATATGTAGGTATCTCAGGCTCAGAGGTGAGGAAAGGTTAATGCTGTCAAGTGCTGTAATGGTATTCATCTGCCTTAGTGCTCATTTCAGCAGTTCAGATGTTTGTTTTAACAACATGTATTCAGATAAATATCCCCAAGGTCACATCATTTTCAAACAGGCAGTGGATTCACTTGATTTAATGAACGACAAGTACTTCAACATTACTCTTTTATAAGCACTTCAATCACTGCAGTCAAGCCAATTCCAAAGTGTGCCAAGATGACATAAAAGATGGATTTCCTTCTAAATAAATCTCTATTTTGAAGTAATAACCTGTGTCATCACCATCTCTCAGAGCCAGTCCTCAGTGATATATGAACAGAAATGTTTCTCTGTTTTGGCAAATGCTATATCTCAGGCTTCTCAGGAAGCTGTTGCTGCTCATTTACCTCGCTCTACTTTTTGTATGTGGGCAGACTAAAACAAAGTTCAAATAAATCCAGCTGGATGATGCAATACATGGAGAGAACCTAAGAAATGTGAAAACTAGGAGCCAAAGTTAAATGGTGAAAACAGCCTCATGTGCTAATGAAATTCTTTGCCAAAATTAAAAAGCAGAACATTGAATAATGTTATTAATATATGTGTGGTCCACACTGGGCAGCTCTGCTGTAGCTTGGAAGTTAAGGACCCAACCTAAGTTCTAAGCATGTGAAGACTCATCTTCTGTCCCAGTCGGTCAATAACACACAATTAAATGTGCCAAAGAATGGGAGATTATTCATAGGGAAGCTCAGTATGTGAGGTAAATGATGGTCACCATATTTGGTCCCAGTGAGGGGGGTGTCCAAGCCTTGCCCACATTATGCTCTGCTAATGTTCTCACTCTGTCTTCTGCAGTAATTATACGGCCTTGGTCGGTGTGTGGATCTATGGCTTCTTCGTCATGGTGCTGCTGGCCCTGGACTTTCTCTACTATTCAGCCATAAACTATGAGTTGTGCAGGGTTTATCTGGAGAAATGGGGTCTTGGAGGACGCTGGCTGAAGAAGGCTCGAAGTCAGTGGCACAAGTCCATGTCAGAGGAGAGTGAAACCCAGGCTCCAACCCAGTCCATGGCCCCCAGCCACTACCAGCCCCGACACAGTCTCCGAGGGGAGAGCCACAGCCCTACGCTCCTGCCCTACAACACATCTACTGCATGGTGAGTCACTGGCTGTAATATGACAACTGCCAGCCTGCAAGTTTAGAACCCATCTACTGTAAAGCTGCAAGGAAAACCAAATAGTGATCTAAGATTACCCAAATCCCCTGGGTAACCACAGCTGACGTCGACATGGAGATGTATCCATGGGAGAGTTGGTAGTGTGCAAATAATAATTTATACATGGACAGTTAGAAGCTAGAAGAGGCTGTTGGAATTTTGGTGCAGCCTGCATCAGTTTATTAACACATACATTACAATGAACCAGTGATTTGACCACTGCTCAAAACCCATTAAGTGTAGCGTGCATGCATGTACACATTTACTGTTAACCAATGATATTGCCAAGTCTGTTCCTTTTAAAATCATAGTAACTAAAAGGTAAATTAATTAAAATAATTTCAATATATGGTTTCCCTCTGACTAAGAAATACAGAATTTATCAATATTTTAAAAGCCTTTCCACTTACAAATTGATCAATTTCTGCAAAGCATCTGATCCGTATTTGTCTTTCATCTCAAAATAGCTATGATCTGTCTCAATATCAACCTCTTTTTATAAAAGAGAACATTTCTTCATTTAAGTCTGACCAGCTCATTAGGGAGATTCCATTATTAATGGATAGAAAAGAACAGAATAATGTGAAAGCTTCACTGCTCGCCAGGGGCACCTAACTCATATTTATCCTGAATTATTCGACTATGAGTCACATTAGAAAATTTTATGGGCTCTCTATAAGAAAGCATCATCTGTTGTCCTTTCAGTTTATCTGTTTATTACCTATGAGAGCACTCACAGGAGTCTCCAGGTGTGTTATGCTGTGTGACTGTTGTTAAAACAGGCAAGATGACAAGCGCAGTCTGAACAAACCTACATTTTTGTGCAGTCAATTGTTCATTCAGTTCTCCGTCTCAGACACCGTGCGGCCTATCTGTCTGACTGAGGCTCAGTCTCTTCCTAGAGGTAGACATCTCTCTCGGGTCATGATAATTTAATGTGTGCAGAGTCTGACAAATGGCTTTGAGAAGTAGTATAGACTGCAGGAGCCATGGATAGAGGAGCTGGGAAGCTGCAGAGGGATCCTGGGGCTACTCTGCTGGTGCAAATGTGGTTAGCTAAGACCGGACATGTCCATGGAGCCTCCTCATTAGACATGAAGCCAGTTCGGTATGACAGGACACATCAGTCCTAGACTCACAAGGCTGACCTGCACTGGCAACTCTCTAGCTTTAAACTTGAGGATGTTTGTTAAAAGTTGTTTTAAACTTCACTGAAATGCTCGTTGACAAAGTGGACCTAGCAAACAAGCACACACCGAGTCCATGGTAATTCATTGTAATGATAAGTGATGGGAACCGCTTTAGCATGGATGGTATAATCTTGTGCGACATCTTTTTTTTTATAAAAAGCATAACCACTTTTTAATAAACAGGACAGTATTAAAAAGAGCTAAAATATTCTTGGATAATTACTCACATTGTTAAAAAAGTGACAGCTGCTGGGACCTAAATTCAGTCACAAGCAGTTTCTAGGGCAAGATTAGAAGTGCCTATTTACAGTTTCACATAGTGAAGCACTTCTCACAATCCAGATAATGCTTACACTTTTCTTAAATGTGTTAAGTTTCCACAATGGCTGATACTGTATCTATGCCACAATTGATGTTGCCCACACAGTGCGTCATTAGATAGGCCATGGTTCATTTGTGGCAGTATAGATCCTTATCCCCAGAGAGAATGCAGGGTAATGGCTCAGAAAACTGGGCCCACTTAGTTGAACGTTTGTTGGACAAATGTAAACAAACAGAGATGGGGTCAAATCCAACAACTGGGGCAGCAGCATCTAAAAACAACCCAGTTGCACAGCAACTCAGGAATCCAGCACAAATTGTTACCAGTGCAGTGGAGCAATCCTGACAGAAAGTCAAAGTATCAGGTCAATTCTCCATATGCGCACATCTCTCTCTTCAGGGGAAGTGCAGCTTGGCATTCAGCACGTGGGAATACCATTTACCATATCACTATGTGAACAGGCTGGTACAGCTCTTAGGGATGGGCACCAGTAGTGGGTTCTGCTTTGAATCCAGTTCCAAGTTGGTAAAATACTCCAATTTGTTCATTATCAAGTCTTTCATTCAGGTTTTCTGTTTAAGTTAGTCTGTTTTGCAAAGATGCAAAGATGTTCTTGGGGAGGCGCATGAACTTTTCTGAACGTATTTATAAATAGGAATGGGATAATACTTTTGACATAACATATGGCCTTGACAACACCAAAATGACACAATGTTTCTAACTATTGTGAGTTTAGGGATTTTTATTTTATGTTTTTTACTTTCTTCGCAGCCAAAACAATTAATAGACCAACCGCCTGATTTGAATGTGATCCAGACTCTTACCTTGAAGAGCTGAAGAGAGGTCTTTGTTAATTAACTAATCAATTAAAAATTTTTTTTGCAAAATGGCATCATTAAACAAAAAATAGCTGATGAATGAAATGTGTATAATATAGGATGTTTGTTTATGTTACAGTATTTATCAGATGCTTTTGTCCAAAGCAACTTACAATTACATCAGTTAACATAAGAATGATTGTTCATGTACCGTTTGCTGTCTTTCTTTTTTTTATTTCCGCTTTATGGCACTTGTTTATCATTTTTACGCTTCCAGACTTCCCCAGAAAACCCTCAAAACGGAGGCGAGAGAGCGTCCACTTCACAGTGGGACAGCCCTAAAACCTCACTAACTTAGCAGAAACATGCCTCAAAGTCCACGAGTCTGAGTCTGGACATTGAGATTGGGCCAGTCTGCTGAGGAAATGACTCTCATTTCTACTCAGGAAGCTGAAAAAACATTTCACATCCTTTTCCTCCTTTTCTTCCTATCAGAGGAGAATCAAAGCCTTGCTCGGCCTCCCACATGTTCACATCCGTGAGCTCACTGGTTGGCTTTCTGTGGTAATAATAGAATTGTACATTATGAAATTTTACTTGGCCTGCCTGTCCACTGAGCTGTATGCCAAGACCTTGTCCAATTAAAGCAACACTCTCTATGTGGTGTGAGTTAATTAACATCATAGATGCTACAAAAGCAGCCAGGCA